GCTTAATTAAAGATTGTTTAAAGCTTAAACTTGATGGACAAAATAAATAATGAACATTATCTCAAAACTCAAGCCATGTCAAACTCATCTCAAACTTGCTAAAATATTAAATGAATCATGGACATAATAAAAATAAATTCAATTCAACTCGTTTTCAAACAAGCCTTCATTTAATAAAAGGCAGAAATAGGTTTCTAAAGCCACATTTCTTAGTATGCTCGCATGCTCATCATTTAGAAACAACCATATATGATCGAGATGGGATTGATGTTCATTAAGCATGCTTTAACCGTTATCAAATAAATAACTCATGTGAAAGATTTTAACAAGTGAAAATCCCAATGGTCTAAGCCATATTGTAGGCATCTTAGTAAATTTCATTGTATTGGATTAAGTTGATCATTATCAATACTCACTAATGATGAAAACATGATAAACTGAATTAAAAAATATTAAAAACTTATTTTCAAAGATATAACTATTGCAGACTTTTTTGGGCTTTTAATTTGGTTGATTTTTTATCAATTTCAGTATTTTTTTCTTAATAATATCTTTAAAATATGTTTAATATTATTTTATTTCATGATTACACATGAAAATTAGCTAATCTTTATAATAATAATAATCCATACATGATAACAAGTTTAACGGATTCTATATTTCATTATGTTGAATGCCAAAAAATTTATGACAATAGAATGATAATTTAATGTCTTGGTGTTGTATAAAAATTCAACCCACACAAAAAGAAAAGTAGCGGGATGAGATACCAAGTTTTTTATATAAAAAAACCCTAGAAAGTGAAAAAACCATGGGGGTTGACCCAGTCGAAGTAATCCACTATATATTTGTAAGTACATGAGTATGTCTCTCTCTCACGATAGGACCCAGTCGAAGTAATCCACTATATATTTGTAAGTGAGTATGTCTCTCTCTCACGATAAGGAAAATAGGATTACAATCTTACATTGAAAACTATATTTGTCTTTATATAACAGAAAAAGTATAAGTGTTAAGAAATTCAAAAACAAGTGCAATCAAGCTACAATGTTGCAAGCATGAATCGTCGGTCGTTGGTGGTTAGTGGCAGCATGTGGCGACGACAAGTAGCGGTCGTCAATGACAAGCAACTACGGAGGCCGGTGGTCTATAATGGTTGTCGGCTTCAGAGGTCGGTAGTTACTCGTCGGGCCTTCTCTCCAGAACAGGCTATAGAACTTTACTTCTTCTCTTCTCCACCTCTGAGTGAGATTAGGGACCTATTTATGGCTTTTTGAGGAGGGGATTTTGATCTTTCGACACAAATTCTCTAACCACCAGATCGAACGGTCCATGTTGATCGCTCTTGATCATAGGTGATTTTTTAATGATTTAGGTACCTTAATAGCCTCGGAATTAAGTGATCTTAGACTTGTTGGGTTCCTCTCATCGAACGCTTGATTCAACTACAAATATGTTAAGTTTAGAATTCATTTTAATTGATGGTCTAAAGCCTTCTATCATGCTTCAACAGCTTGATATGGATTTGATTGGACCCAGATTGAATCAACTTTAGAGTCGTTGTGTTCGTTTTATCAAGACGCTCAGTTTGATTATAAATTTGATGAAATCAAAGCTTGGATGATCATGAATTTGAATTGGAAGAACTCTTATAAGAAAATGCATCAAGATTTTTGCTTATTGTCAAAAATTCGTTGATGACACAACACATTCTATATATTAAATTTATTTAAGTATGCTTAATATGATAATTATTAATCACGTAGTTAAAGATACCAAGCATAATTTGAATAATGACATTTTTCTTCAATTAACAGTCTCTCATGATAGCCACTTTACATAATTTATTATAGTTCCTACATAGCATTAAAGTTGCCAAAATAAGTTAAACACACTTAATTATATTTACTAGAAAATAGCAAGTTTACATTATAAAAAAAATTAAGCTTAAAGAGTATTTATTTTTACTTAACATTATTGTGTTAGCTTATTTAATATATTTAAAATTTCAAAAAATATGTTAAAAATAGTATTAATTAATAAACTATTTTATACTTGTTGAATTTCAACTTCATTCCTATTTCATTAGATTCTTTACATTGAACTTCATATGTTATGCAACCTAATTTTGATTAAAATAAAATTAGGAATTTCTAAAACATTAGTTGTTTCCAATTTTATCTCATGTTGAAATGAGAATTAGCCATTGATATTCTTTTTGAAATTTTTCTTAGTTGTTGGAACTTGATTTAGGGATTAGCCATTTAAAATTTTTTTCATGTGTTTTAGTATATAAGCTAAAAGGTTAATGAGGAATTTAAATATCACACCAAAAGCAAAATAAACATGTAATGAGAAAATGAAAAGTAGAATCCAAGTTAAAAAACAATTGAGGAGTTTTCAAAGAAAAATTCTTAAGCATTCATCATTTCATTCCTAGGGGTTTTCACGTTTGTAACCTAAAGCTTGATATCTAGGTGTTTTTTATACCAAGTAATTTTTTGAATCAAGGGCTTTTCTTGTATTTGATTTTAAATAATTGTATCAAAAGTTGTATTTCGTTTTAAATGTTTGTATCAGAGGCATTTTTTTATTTTTTTTAAACAATTATCAAGAGCTTTTACTGTATATTTACCATAAGAAATTTGGTTATGGGAATTAAAGATGAAATTTTTTATCTCCGCCAAAGTTTATAAAATATCTAGTCGAACCATGTAAAAATTCAATGTGTTTGTATGTCTTCTGTGTGTTTAAATAAAAAATTTTATATTATGAGTTTGATTTTAAAATCCTTTAATATCATACTTGTTCCTCATGGTTTTAAAAACTATATTTTCTCAAAAAATTTGAGTTAAAATCTCATAATTATTTTGTACAAAAACACTCAGTTTTTTATTAATAAGTTCAATCCCCTTCTCTTGGGTTTGTGCAGGCTAACATGAACCACTTATGACAAATTTCTCTTCCTCTCTTTCAGTACAATCCCTAAATTATAAAAGCGGTTAGTATATTTATAACAAAATTTTCAACTCAATAAGTAATGTTAAGCAGAGTTTTTTTTTTGCTTTAATGTGCAAAGAAAAAATGAAGTATGGATTTCGGTTAATTGAAGCACAAATATCACAAGTATGTGGCCTTATATTATTTGACAACTAGCATGAAAATTAAAATTATAAAATAATCTAAGTTGGTTTAAATGTACCATTGACATGAAAAATTATTAACCACTAGTTAGTAATAGGGCACACATGCGACAAGATGAGTAGCACATAATATCAACTGATAGATTATTAATCTTCTTATTAAACTGAACATTAAAAGCAGAGTTTGTGTTTTGTACTCTTTATAGAGAAACAGCAAAATGCCTGCTATGCCGCTTTGATTGTGCTTTAATGAGCAAGTTTGCTTCATTGCAAGGCCATGTGTAACCTTATCTCCATATTCCATATCACATTTAAAGAACGTGCATATCTTTCTGCAATTAACATCACTGCTTCAAGATTAGATAGATAAAATACAAGATAAAACTATTTTAAACTAATTTGGCATCCAAATCGCATCTCCTAAACATCCAGTCCAGCCTAATGTTGAGCCATCCTCAATTTTTCTATTATCTTAGATTCACTGCCCAAGGAAGTACAATCCTGTTTTCCATTTTTAATTAAAGCATTTAATCTGAATCCATCATATTGTTCAAAAATAGCATTCCTCGATCTACATCTACAAAACTTAACTTTTTGTATAAATCTCCACATAGATTCATTTGTATTGTTCTACACAAATAAAAGCTTACTATAGCTCCTTATTCGATTCACTCAGGTTGGGTCTCTTGAATCATTTGTAGTTTTCTTCTCTCAGTGGAGACTTATCTCGATGCTGAAAAAAAAATACTCAAACCTTAGGAATTCCATTTCTATCACACTATGAGAATTCCAAGCAGTAAAATATGTGCACACTGCATAAAAGTAAAAAAGCAAACAATAAATCAACATCATAAAGCATGCATCTAAGCAATAGCAGCAACTACCAGGAAAAAAAAAATTCAAGTCTAGCATGAGCAAATGTGGAAGGGGCTCTTCTCCCATCTCACAAGGGTGGCATTGGCATTGCAATTAGAGATGAAAATGGTGATCTTATCCTTGCGGCCGGAGAGTCTATTGAACATTGGGACGGTGCTTAGGTCGAGCTTATGACAATCTCAACACATAAATATCATGTGGAACCGAGGATGTATGACGTCAAGAGCACCATTATTGAAAGGGACAACCAAAAATTATTGCTTCACTTGGACTCTAGTACTTGGAGACAGCAACCACAAGATATGGAGAATCTCTCTTGCTTGACCTCGTTCAAACAGATTTTATTTCAAAATATAAATAAAAAGAAAATTATAGTTGCGCATACTTGCGCAAAAAGAGCCATAAGTGCTAATTTTTTTGTTAGGAAGGTTGATAGCTCACATTTTCGTTTTCTTTTTGTTGATTTTGACCTAGCCCATATTTTGACGCTTTAGACCCATTTTTGTAACTTCTTGTACTCCTTTTGTCTTGATTAATGCAATATGCACATTTCAAGGGGTAAAGTGGCCAAACTAGAAAGAAACTTACTTATTCCTAAATGGCCTTGCACCTTCCTGACATTCACTTGGTCATCCTGGACATTTACCATAGCAAGGTACTTTCACTTAAAGTTGGATTGTACTTTAGAATCCCACAAGCACATAAGAACGGTACATTTCGTCCAAAATCAGGATTATTTTACACAACAAGAGCCAGATTTGCTAAAACTATAACTTCACGTGTAATAACCGATCAAAATGCCAACAACCTAACGTTTTACACGATTCCTTTCCAGTGGCCATCAATCCTTTCGTTTCCCCTAACTAACCCCAAATTAATTAAGCATCAAAGTTCTGAATTACAAGAACCATGGATCAAGCAAATATAAGCATAGAGTCGCCAAAAAATGGACAAATGATCACAATAACAATTACAGCTTACATGAACAAAGGCAGAGTCCAAAAACGCGGTGCTGATCTCAAGTGGAGAACCAGTCGTCCGAGCGCCGACAGTGTAGAAAACAGCGGAGCCAACAGCATCAATCAACGAAATGGCGGCGCCACCGTGCAAGAACTTTCCGGTGTTCTGCGAGAGACCAAAACATATGGGCAAAGATAAAAGGGGAGGACGAAAAACAGAGGAGAAGGAGCTTAGGACTTTACGAGCAAGCGTGGAGGGATACTCATGGAACAGAGGAGTCGACCAGGCTCGATGAGGTCGACGCTGAGCCCGTGGAGGATAAACGCATCGTAAAATTTAGAGGGCAGAGAGTCGATCAACGGCGTGGGGAGAATCTCCACCGCAGCGGCCTCCAGCGATCGCCTCACAGCCGGAAAATCCATAAGTCTCCGATCAATTGGAGGAGAAGAGAAGGTTATGCTAACGACGTTAGCTGCATTATATTCGACATAAATATAAAACAAATGGGGCGAAACATTGTCAAAACGGTTAGTTGTTCGCGAACAGGCTCTTTAAGAAGGGGTTAACGAACCAAATATTAACCACACGAATAATTTTTTGTTGTTCGTATTTGGTTCGTATTTGGTTCGTTTTGACTCGAAATACTACTAATCAATTATATATATATCTTTGATGAGTAGTATTTTTAAAAAATTTAATTGACTACAAGACTACAAAGATTTATAATCAATTAAAAGTATTAATAAAGAAAATATAATAAAAATTATTAAATTAGATTCAAATGATATTTTAAATCTTGCTCCAATCCTTAACATCTTATAACTACGTGATTAAGGTTGTCAAAACTACTAAAAACTTCTATTTGTTCGTGAACGGCTCGTGTTCGGCTTGCTAAGCAAAAGAGCCGAATACGAACACAATTTTTGAGCTTGAAATATAAACGAGCCGAACACAAGCCAAGCCCAGACTCGCTCGTGTTCGGTTCGTTTACACCCCTAGTCATCTGTTTCAACCATTTTTCAAATTCTCCCAAAATAAATATATATTTTTAATGATTATCTACAAAATTGATTTTGTCAAAATTGTTGCTAAAATTCATACAAGTGATATTTTAAACCCCTTTTGCTTGAAGTTGCTACAAAGGCAAACACTAAAAATATTCACTAAAATACTTCTAGAACCAAATTTTATGAAAATGGCTAGAGTATTTTGTTGTCCATGGCTTCCTTCCTCTTTTTATTCCTCTATGGATCCCTAGCTTTCTTGTTCACTATTTCATTTTCTTGCGATGGAAGGGAAAGTGAATCCAATTGTGTTTTGTGCTTCCTCTTCACCTCCAATTGCTCTATTCTTGGTCGTCCTCTTTTATTGAATTGGAAAGGGATCGTCTCTTTTATTGGCATGGTATAACTGGTTTCAATCTCTTTTATATCACAATTCTGATAGATAATGTGTTATTCTCAAATGAAGAAAGAGAAGACTTCAAGCTTTTGAGTTTGGCTTTGATGGCTATGCACTTCGTAAGTGATGCTTCTAGGGTTTCATAAATAAATAATGAAAACTCGAATGTATGATTGATCTTGTCTCTCCTATTGAGTTTTTTTTTTTTTTTTTTCCTTTCAAGTTTAACATAACTTAAGGATCTAGGAATTATTTTGGAGGGAGGCCTATAATTAATTATTGGTAGACCATTAATTTTCAAGAAATGGACTCATAAAATCCAACCTATTATTTGGTGTAAAGTTATAATCCTATTCTCCTAGTTGTGGGAAAAAGGTGCATCTTTTGTAATTACATATTTATAATGGAATATTTTATCTATGCTAGCCCTGTAGTTTTTTTCCCTTTACGTGTTTTCCACTTAAAAAATCTTGGTATCTCCTCCTACTACTTTCAAATTATTTGTGTGTGTGTTGGAACATTGTGCATCGCAAAAACGTAAATTATAACTCTATCGCCGTGAATATTCTGGCGCACCAAAACTTTAATTACACATTATTGTAAAAAAAAAAGAGTGGGATTAGGACAATCAGTGTTTAAACTACTATCACCAAAATATTTCTTAGATTTTTCTAAATCATTGAAACTCATTGTTATTGTAATTTTTTTTTTTCAGTTGTAACAGGTACTTTAAAAATCAGGAGTATATATCAATCTTGAATTTACTTAATTTGACATTTTGGACAGGGTTTGTTCATTCTTATATTCCTCAAAGGAGAAATAAATTATTCTTCATATAAGATTTTGTTCTTCGTACTCGGGTGTTTTTTGAATTATTAATTGTTAAGGAAACTACTCCGAAAGAGTCTCCTTTTAATTTCACCACAGAATAGGATCATAGGATTTGAGAAAATCAGAACAAAAATTAAAGAATGGACAATCAAAGTAGCTAGAAAAGCACGAAGGAATTTTACGTAGAAAAACCTAAAAACGGGAAAAAACCACAGAACCATACCACCACAAATTTCAGTATGTAATTCAGAGGGTTTTATAAATGACTCACAGAAGTTTCTTCTCCACACTCACACGAAGAAACTTATAGGACTTGCACCAACAATCTTCTCTCTTCAATCAGATGCAAAAATCGCATCGGATCATCAAAATCCACCTCTTCGATACTCCTCACTTTCACTGGGATGCTCCTCAAAGAATTCAAAAGAAAGAAACAACAAGCAATTTGAAACCCGCTTAAAAAATTGGCATAGAACCTTTTTTTGTATTAACTGCACTGTGATTAGCGCACAGAAATGGGCGCCCAGGCGCCAATAGACCGGTGCCTAGGCACCGATCTCTTAGGAATAAGAGCAGTGCTCACTCTTATGGAGCTCTTAAGAGTCCATGGTTGGCGCCTAAAACTGCTTGGAATGCTTTTGCTCCACACACATCGTAACAATCTCTCACTTGAAGACAAAGCACCGAGCACCAGTCCTCTGTACCAACATCTCCATCTAAATAGCCTTCATAAACACGTACCATGGTCACGAAAATATGAGTGCATAGAAAATAATCATGTACTCCATACAATATAAGATATTCATTTCTATATTTGCATATCATAATGTAATATCAACAATGCTTAAATGAAATGATTATTGCACTCAATAACTACCCATTCAAACATTTCATCAAAGTTGGTTATGCTTAGAATGAAACATGAAATCCACGGATCTCCTCTTCCTTTTGCAACCCCAGTGGCACCTCCATGAACACTTTGAATTGAACATTTGTATCCTTTTTGACTGCAGGGATATAATATTTGATGTAGATGTAGATTTTGTGAGCACCATTGCATAGCCATCATCCATATAATCCATTCCTTCTGGGAACAGCTGCCATAGAAGACTTCCTCCTCCACTCCCACCAATCTTTGTAGAGTTCAGAATGTTCTTATAAATCATATCAATGAACTGATCTCTGAAACTGACACTGAAGTTCTTGTCTTTTGCCGACACTCCAAACTCCGTGAACAACACCGGCATTCCAAGCACATTCTCTGCATCATCAATGTGGCTCTGCATCCAAGACTTGGTGAATTGGAGGTGCGAGTCAGAGATTGAATTCGATATCCTGTATCAATAAAGAGAAATTATTAATCTATAGCTAGTAGCATGGGCGTCAAGTCGGGTTCACAGTTCGAGTTTAGTTCTGACCCAAAATTGACCTGACCTGAAACTGTGACCCAAACCCACCTGAATATTAAACTGGTTAGAAAGTTCAACCTCATGCAACTATTTGAGTTGATTTCAAGTCAAATTTGGGTCAATTTCAGGTCAATCTCGGATCAAATTCCGATTGTCAAGTCAACTGTGAGTTAATTTCACGTTAGTGGGTCAATTTCGGGTCAAATTTGGGTTTAACGGCCAACCAGAATCTGACATGAAAAATTATATGAGTTAAAAGTCCTAACCCAAGCCGACCAAAAAATGGTGCTAGTCAACTTGAACCCAAATTTTTGAGTCAAGTTCAAGTCGAGTTGACATGTCAGGTCAATTTTGGCCCCGCATAACAAGAAATTCTTTCTTATGTTATCACTTATCATACCAAGCATCTGGATAGATGTGGGCTGTCGCAAAGTCGATGCCTAAAGTTTGATGGTTCCTTATGAAATCGGTGCCGACCTGACTGGCAAAGGTGTTGGGATTGAACTGAAAGCGATTAGGTGTTGAGGATCCATAGAAGCCTTCGAGCCCGATCTCGACCAGATGCTTCGGGTCCATTGACTTTACGTGGAATGCCATTTCTTCAATCCATGACTGAAAATGGTTCATGATCAGTAACTGATGTTGGATGGCGAGTTAAACAGAACAACTTTGAAGCTTGAGATAGTTACCTGCAGGTTGTTGCCTGAAGGATCAGCAAGGCAGCGAGGTTCGTTCATTAATTCCCAAGCAAATATTGTTGAGTCTTCTTTGTATGTGATGTTCGTAAATGTGTTTACTCTATTGAGAACTGCCTGATCACTTAGACAAATCATTAATTAAAGATATTTGTTATCTAATCTTACACTCTTCATTTGGGTGTCGTAGCATTAATTGTAGCAAGTAAACAATAGAAAAATTTATTTGTTATCTAATTAACTCAGTATGCATACGTACTACATAGGTTTTATATATTTATATTTCTAACACTGAAACTTTGATATTTACTAATATATGTAATAGCTATTTCTTATGGGGATTTACATAAAGAGTCCACAATTCTTATGTAATTACATATCTAACACTAGAAAGAAAGCTTTTCAATTTTCTTTTATATGTTTAGAGTCATAAATCATTGCATGAAATTGGGTATTTCACTTTTACAAAATTATTAATAGTGATATTTTTTTATGTGATGTTGAAAATATGAGTGCCATGCATGTAAATATAAAAAAAAATTAGGTGCTAGAAGGATAAATACCTTAGAATTGTGTATATGTATATAAATCCTCCAAAATTTTAACATCACATTAAAAATATTATTAATAGTAACTTCTTAAAGTGAAATACATATTTTCAGGGTGCGTTTGGGGCAGCTTTTGTGTTTCAGGACAAGCTGATTATCCTGAAACGCGGCCCGTGGGCAGCCAGCTTTTGTGTTTCAGGACAAGCTGATTATCCTGAAGTGCGGTCCGTGGGCAGCTCCGTGGTCTGTGTTTAGTGTAAAAACTCAAACACAGTTTTAAATAAGCTGGCGAAACGCGCAAACCAAACAGTATGGTGGCGTTTTGAAAACGCCGCCCGCACTTATAAGCTGCCCCAAATAGGCCCTCAGTCTTCAGACATATGTTATGATGTGATTATGACTCCAAAATAAAATATAAATAGATTAATATTAAAATTTAGGCGCTAGATATATAAGTCTGAAAATACCCCAAATTTTAATCTGAAAAAAATTTAAGTCATTGATTTTTTTATTAAAAGTGCAATATAAATTTTAGTGTATTTCTCATAAAAGTCATATTCTTTACATAAATTAATTAGAAACCTCTCACAATGTAAATTCCAAGCTGTTTATTTTAGTTTATGTGAGAAGATTCAAATTGTTTTTGGACTAATAATTATAAAAAAGTTTATTTTGTTTAAGTAAATAAAAAATTATGCTAAATAAATATGAAATGCCATGAAACTCTAACATTATTTACCTTTACATGAGCTTTATAGTAACCTTTCACAGTTGGATCAATGAAGAAATCATCATCAGAAGTAAGATTTAAACCTGCTGCCTTTCCCCACTTCACATATTGAGACTTTCCACCATATGCATCCCAATTATTTGCTAATGACAGTATTAATCTGATATTATGCGCCTTTGCCTCACTCACCACATAATCAAGCGCCTTAATAAGTGATTAACCAAAAAGTTAATTAGAAATCGCCTAAGAAATTATTATATTTAATCTATAATCATAACACACAATTAATACAGAAAACATTAATGAAACTCAAGTAAATAAATAAAAATTACAGTTTTAATGTATTTGATCCGTTGAATCAAAACTAAACAGCAATTTGCTTAAAATGAAGTGCATGAGTATCTTAGCGTACATATTTAATACCATAAAGAGGTGAACTTCATTAGTAGCATGCACATGCAAACATTATTATATAATTTATTGTATTCAACATATTTTTATAGTAATCAATATATAAAAACTAAATTAAACATGGTTAGAAAATTTATGTTATTCATTTTAATACGATCAAATCATTTAATGTAACACGTAATCATAAGTAAATTTATTGTGATAGTCTATCTTAAACAAGTATCAGACTATCTTATGCATTTGTTTTAGAGGAATTAGCAGTATTGCTATAAATAGAATTATGAAAACATATCTCAAAACTTTTTTTTCTTAAAGAATGGTCGGAGGTTATTATACGAGCCCCCAACCACCCTTATGTGTCTAACTATTCGAGGACCGCCCTCGCTGCCCGCAAACAATGAGGAACTTAAGAGCTTCAATGAGGTTGCCTCTACCAACAAGCCACGACTGGCGGCAAACACATACACACAGATATGTATGTATGTATGTATGTATGTATGTATGTATGTATGTATGTATCTATGTATGTATGTATATATACATACATACATACATACATACATACATACATACATGTATCTATGTATGTATCTATGTATGTATGTGTGTATGTATGTATCTATGTATATATACATACATACATAGATACATACATACACACATACTTAGATACATACATAGTCATTACATTACATAATATAGAGAGAGACCTTATTCATGCATTTAGGTAATGCATGTGCAGATAGAATTGATCGATGGTCGAAAACCGCCTATCAACCTCTTTGGTCGGGCTCCCGTCAGGTCTGGGACCCCGCTCAGTATGCTGAAAATTCGAGAACCCCGCGTCACATGAGATTGAACCCCGACCCGAGGGTCTTACGCTAAAGCCGCCACC